GTAATGTTCAGTGTTTTATTCAGTGTAATGTGTTGTCGTTGTTTTGTCATTCTTTTGTTTGTATATTTTTACTGTATGTGTACCTATTTGTATAAAATTAATAAAAAAAAAATTAAAAAGGGGAAAAAAAGTTTAGAATAAGGCTCAAAAGAGATTCTCCACAGCCCTAACATGGAAGCCTCCATCACTGCTGTCTTCCAACAATGGGAAATGACCAAGGAGGTTCAAGAGGAATGCCTACCATATGACACTTGCAACCTGAGGCAGCTGCCCTGCTCTGTCTAATGGTAGAGATGGCCATGTAAGCAATACAACTAGAATATGCATTTGAAGGGCTGCAAACACTTACAAGCTCTATGCAAACTTTAAGTATAGTTTTTTTTTCTCTCTCTGAAGATGCTAGCCACAGATGCTGGTGAAACGTCAGAAAGAAACTCTTCTAGAACATGGCCACACAGCCCAAAAAAACCCACAAAAAAACTATGGATGCCGGCCATGAAAGCCTACGACTTCACTTTAAGTATAGTTATTTCCCATGAGGAAAGAGATCATATTTTTATTGGCTTGATCTTACATTTTAAAACTCTGGAAATTAATATGAGGGAGCAGAAAGCATGGAGCTGTCCAAGTTAAATATGGATGTCCAGAGTATGGCAACCAAAATGAGGAAAGGTCTGGATGCTATGCCCTATGATGAGACAACAAAAATCCACCAAACAGTGATATCTTTCTTGGGCCAACCAAAATGCATAATACACTTGTTGCAAACTTTTGAAGATTCACTGGCATCTTCATCAGGCAAAATGTTACAAACCAAACAGGAGGGGAGGGGGATTAAAGATGTTATTCATAGGCCTGCATATTGCTGTTTCTCTTCTTTAGTTAAGATGATTAAGATACTGGAATATCTTTTTTGTGTTGCAAACAGATGTTAAATTTCCTGGACTTTGAGAATCTCCCAGTTGTCACATGGCCAAAAGGAGGAGGTACCAGCCTGCAAAATTTGCCCCTCTTAACCAAGAAGAGAAAGAGCAATATGCAGGCCTATGAATAACATTTTCAATTTTTCCCTCTCCTGTTTGATTTGTAACACCTTGCCTAATGAAGAAGACAGTGAAGCTTCAAAAGCTTGCAACATATATATTGTGCATTTTGGTTGGCTCAATAAATGTATCATTGTTTGGTGGGTTTTTGTTAATACTGGAATTGCTATATGGCCAACACGGCTACCCCTGGATGTCCTATGAGGAGAGTTAGGGAGCTGGGCATGTTTAGCCTGGAGAAGAGAAGGTAAAGAGGCAACATAATAGCGGTGTTTAAATATTTGAAAGGATGTCACATTGAAGATGGAGCAACCTTGTTTTCTGCTGCTCCAGAGACTAGGACATGGAGCACTGGATTCAAACTACAGGAAAACAGATTCCATTTAAACATTAGGAAGAGCTTCCTGATGGTATGAGTTGTTTGAAGTGGAACAGCTCTGCCCCAGAGAGTGATGGAGGAGGCCTTTTTTGGAGATTTTTAAACAGAGGCTGGATGGGAGTGCTTTGATTGTGTATTCCTGCATGGCAGGGGGGTTGGACCTGTGGTCTCTTCCAATTCTGTGATTCTATGATTCAATGAGAAGTAGTAGATATCTTTGTTTCTTGAATCCCCAGTTCCCACTGCCTGGGCACTGTGCTGAGTGATCTGATGCTTCTTCTCTGACCCAGCAAAGGAACCATGTGTCTTTAATAGTTTTTTGAGCAACTGAAGGCTTTTTCTCTTTAGCAATGGTGAATAACTACATCAGCCCACTGAGGGAACCAAGAGGGCTACATCCTCTGCTTTTTGATCTCCTAATTTAGTTTACAAGAGGCAGTGTGGTGTAGTGGTTTGAGCGTTGGACTATGACTCTGGAGACCAGGGATCAAATCCCCATTTGGCCACATAAACCCACTGGATGACCTTGGATAAGCCATGCCTTAGAAGGAGGTAAAGGCAAACATTTCTGAACAAATCTTGCCAAGATATCTTTTTCATAAGTTCACCGTAGAGTTGCCATAAGTCAGAAATGGCTTGAAGGCACACAACAACAATAACAACTTTATTTACAAAAAAAATTGTTCCTTAACATCCCCCTAAGCCTCTCAGTCCATTTTTGGTTGAAAAACAAACAAACAAAACCTCTCCAAAAATTTGGGGTGTTTGGAGTCACATAGGGCCAGAGAAATGGCTGAGGGGGGTGTCACATGTGGACCACAAGCCACTTTTCCCACACCTGGCCTACAGGGAAGGAGAAAGGCTATTGATTCTGTAGGCCTGAGGTGAAACCTGATAATACCACACTACAAACTGCTATCCTGACCATTTGAGGTTTTGGGGGCTTTAATTACAGATTCCATAGCTTTTATCTAGCCAGGATGACTTCTGATTTTTTTTCCTATTCTCCCTGAATCCAGTTTTGTAATGAAACATTTTAAAGAACTCTGGTTTTTTATTTGTACTCGAGGTTCACACATCCAAATATTATTCTTAATTCCTATATTAAAACTTCTCCATTTTTTGTCCTCACAGCTATTGTACAACTAGTTAAAGTATCAGCCCTTTAATTGCAAGAGACAATTATTCTTTGTCTCAGAAGTAATTACATACTGACTTAGCAGAAGCCTGTCCTAGGTTTTTCCATTGTACATTCAGTTCGTGGAACACTATAATTATTGCCAATACCATATTGAGCCTATTAATCTGTTGAAACACAGAGAACCCTGTGCTCATGCACCAGAGGACCTAATTGTATGGTGCTTTGGGCCACTGAAGTCAATAAAAATTAGGTCATTGACTAAAGTGGTCAGGATAGCAGCCTCTTCAAAAACAAAACAGCATGCAGCAGAAAGAGTAGGTAAATGAGAAACCAAGCTATATTGTTGAAACATACTTTGAAGAATAATATTAACTTCATAATGAAAAAAGTGCATTAATAAAATGTTTCCAAAGTACTTTAAAGTGGCTTTATCAGGAAGCTATGCCCGCAATTCTTCTCTTCTCATCTAATCATTTTTATTTCCTTTCAAAATATTAAGGTCAGGGATATTAGCATGAGCACTGAGAAATTAATGCAAGCATTTTAATACACTGTTAAAGCTGAGTGAATTAAGCCAGGCAATATAGAACAGCAAGCCTCTTAGAGCATGACACATAAGATATTCTTCCAGTTTTCAAAAATACTGTCACAACAACCTCCTATACTTTTTTTTATGAAAAAAAGGGGGAGGCGGCACCATCTTGATATGCAAGAATTGCATCTGTCATGGATAGCTCCAAGTATCAATTTGTTCTTTAATTTGTTCTGGAAGTCAGTGTTTCAAGCACACATGAATACTTTAAAGACTTTTTTATATTTTAGAGGCTGCTGGATGCAAACATTTCATCTCGGGGATGTCAACCATATATATAAACTATATGGTAGGGCATAGCACAAAGAAAGGAACAATACAGAGCTTAAACAATCATAAAGCCTTATTTATTGCTACTATACTATCACAGCAATGCTTTAAAAAAAAAGAAACCAAGTGCCCACCCACACTCTTTTCACACCCTGTTTTTTTAACAAGAATAAGGCAAGAAAGGATTAGTCCTCAATTTGAAATTCATTTCTCAAAAGGCAATGCTAGATTTCCCTCATAAAGTACAGTCTTAATAAAGGCTTTGCAAAATGGAAACAGAATAAAGATCTGCAGCAGTGAAGGAAAAAAAGCCAAACATATGAAATGAACCGAGTTAGATTTAAGCCACATACATCTCTCTTTATTTTAAAAAAAAATTCCTGCCTCTATGTAACTGTACTGATCTCAACTAGCTTGGAACTGGTTAACATCTAGAGATCCTTCTCTCCCAACACTCTGAACAAAAGACAGGGGCTGGTACAGGACAGAGTTTATACCTCCTGTCAGTCAGTTGGGTTCCTTAGCCTTCCTTCCCAGTCATAAAGCATGCAACGCATGCAGGCACTTCCCAAGTATCACTGTATCTTGAAGGGCACCTGTGTCCATTACAGAGCCCCACCAGCATCCCTGTTGCTGTGACACAAATCAACCACGATAACTAAAGATGGTATGGTGCCAATGTCAACTTGAGGAAGCTGAACAACTTGAATGCCATGCCTTGAGTAGTAAGAAGAATCATTGTGTCACTCAACCCCATGGATAAATTGGGCTGGGTGAAAAGTTCTTATGGATGGAAATGGGCCATAAGATTATATTCTACCTACCAAAAGCATTCCCTGTGGCTGCTCCCAGATTGTGGGCTCCTCCATGGAAAGTCTGGTTGGCCAGCTACCTGTTCTTTCCATCAGCAGGTGAAGACCTTTTTATTCAGGCAGACATTTGAGTTGTAAATTATATGACAGTAGTATGGGTGAAGTGGTGTGTCATGTTTTATTTCTCATCTCTTGTAATTATGTTTTAAACCTGTTTTAACTGTTTTAATCACAGTTTTTATTGTTATTTCATTTCACATTTTTGTAAAAATGACATTTTAATTAAATCTTGTTTTAAACTTCTGGAAACCACCTTGGATCCCATCCCAAGAGAAAGGCAAAAATAAATACCCTTACACAAGAGGATATGTTAATGCACAGACTGTTTTTAAAAAGTGAAATGTAAGGCAGAAATACTTCAGATACCTCAGGCCAGTGATGTACTCCAAGTCTCAAGTCAAATCTCTACAAGTCTCAAGTCTGTGCAAGATACTTTCAAGTAGAGCCTCAAGCCTGGGAGCCTACTTTTAACTGAAAAAAGGAGGTGGCATATATTTCTCAGAAGGGAATGGCAAGCACATTAAGCAGTGGATTACAGGTGGGGGTTGAGCTCTGCTTGGCAGCTTGTCATTGATGCACATCAGAGGAGCCTTCTAAAAAAAAAAGCTTTTCAGAAGTTTTAGAATGATCTTTCTACTGCAAGCCCATTGCCTAATGCATTTACTGTTCCCCTCCAAGAAATGAGCCCTGAACTTTGCGAGTGGGTCTTGCCTGCCGCTTGTAGTTAATGATGCCAGCAAGTCAGTCGCTAAAAATATACAAGTCATAGGTCGAGTCAGGTGAGCGCAGCATATACTGTCGAGTCCAAGTGGAGTCACTGACGTTACTTGAGTGCAACCTGAGCCTGAGTCAATCAACTCGAATCTACATCACTCCCTCAAGCACAGACTAGGGCAAAGAAGCTCTTTTTTACAAAATACAACAAAATACAAAATCCACAAAGCAGCGATACCTTTATTGGGCCAACTTCAAAGCAGAAAATATATTATGCAAACTTTCAAAGATTCACTGGCTTCTTCATCAGGCAAAGATGTTAAAATGCATACAGGAGAAAAAGGTGAAAATGTTAGAGCCACAGGCCTACATTCTGTCTCAGATGTTATTCTATTAGCAGTTAAGATCAGGGGTCAGCAAGCTACTGCTTCCAAAATGGGGCCCGCACTCATGCGTGCATGCGACAGCAACGGGCACCATTTTGGAAGGCCGCACTGCAGCTGCGCCGTGCGAATTCGCTCGGTGCAAGCACGGTGGGGCCTTTCCAAGGCCCGGGGAAGCCCCCACTGCAGCTGCACCGTGCGAATTTGCCTGGCGCAGGCGTGGAAGGGCCTTTCCAAGGCCCAGGGAGCCCCCAATGTGGCTGCGCCATGTAAATTGGCCCGGTGCAGGCGCAGTGGGGCATCCAAAATGGTGCCTCCCACATGTGCGCGCATGTGCACAACAGCAGACATCATGCGCAAGTGCGCGTGCGCACGCCCGGCACCCCGCGTCATTCCCCCCCTCCCAGCCCCCCTGGTTAAGATAGTATTGAGGGATCTCAATGCACGCAGAGGCCACTCCCCTTTTTGATCATGTGAAAACTAGGAACAAAGGACAATAAAAAATAACATTTCAACTCCATTAGCAACAGAAAAGTCCTTTTATATCCAGCAGTCCCTCTTGTGTATGTGCATTTATTAGGCACTATTTTACACACTATACATGCTCTACAGACTTTGGGTGCTGGGTTGGAGCAGCATGTCTGCAGCAAAGAAAGAATAAAAGCTTGAGCTGGGAAAGAATGGGATTTTAGCTGATCCTATTGTAGCTGTGTATGCTTCTTTACAACAGGTTAGGTAAACATCAACTGCCTCCAAAATCTCTTACCAAAATTGTATGAACAGCAAAACCGGGGGGGGGGGGGAAGCAGCTAACCTTGTCTCGCAAGCTCCTATCCAACATGTTAAAGAAGTATACAGTCGTCCCTCTGGATTCGCTGACTTCCCGTTCACAGACGGGAAGCCAGAAGGGAAAAAATGGCATGAGGGATGCTCACCGCCGTTTTATTCAATGGGATTTGAATATTTGTGTTTTTTCCTGATTTGCTGGAGGGAAGGTCCAGAACAACAAATCGGGGGACGACGACTGTAGATCTTTACATTTTCACTAGAATAGAAATCATAAGAAAAGTGGATGGTGACAAAATAAAGAAATATCCATGGATTAATTTTGGAAGAAGTTTTCAGGTGGTCTCTACAAAGCTCTATTTGTTTTTCTTTAATTATGCTTACCTGGCCAGGTTGTCATCTGACCTGGTTGTTTCATTTCACCTGCACATATTGTTAGTTTTGAATAAAGTTTGCTAAAATATGTTGAACTGCTTGTTTGAGTTGGTGGTGGTGGTATAGGAGCCTAATTCTATTCTTTTCATGTCATATCTGCCTCTGGTACCAAATTTTCTGTTAAGACATAATGCCCAGGGATACATATTTTTTGTTAATTGAGCTGTACCTGTATAAACACAATGGTGGAAGAGGAAATAATGAAGGAAGATACAGGAGAAACAGCAGAAGCAGAGAATATTTGTTGGGTTGAGCTGCTTCTCCTTAACTGTAAATAAACAGATCAAGCTCCTAGGCCACACCTATCTCTTAT